CCTCCCCCCAAGGGTCCTCTCCCCCAGCCACAGCCGTGCGAGCCACCTCTCCTGGGGCTGTCACCCCTTCGCCAAAACCTGCGCCCACCAGCACATCCTGCAAACCGGAGATTGTCTTCAACACGGTCCCCGAGCTCCACGCGGAGAAAACCATGTATCTCAAGTCCAGCGACAACCGCCTGCTCATGTCCCTCTTCCTCCTCTTCTTCGTCCTCTCGCTCTGCCTCTTCTGCTACAACTGCTACAAGGGCTACCTGCCCGGCCAGTGCTTGAAGCTCCGCTCGGCCCTGCTGCTGGGCAAGAAGTCCAAGGCGGACTTCTCCGACTGCGAGCAGGTGGTGAAGGAGACCCTGGTGGAGCCGGCCAGCTTCTCGCAGCAAGACGGCGAGCAGCCGAGGCCCGCCCTGGACACGGGCTACGAGACGGAGCAGGACACCATCGCCAGCAAGGTCCCCACGGACAGGGAGGACTCGCAGAGGCTCGATGACCTCCCCACCAGGGACAAGCCGTTTGACGTCAAGTGTGAGCTGAAGTTCGCCGACTCGGATGCAGATGGGGACTGAGGCCACCGTGCCGCACTGGGGCCTGGGCTGCGAGGGCCGCGTGCGGAGGTTGCGGCTTCCCATCCAGCGGCCGGGTGTCCCGCAGCCCAGCAGGGCCGCCCAGCGCAAGCAAGCCGCAGCCCTGTCTCCTCCAGGGCGGAGCCTGTGACTTGGCCTCTTTGTCCTTCGGTCGGAGCGCTTCCAGAAGTCCCTGCGGGCGGCGGCGTGTCACTGAGCCCTTTCTGGGTGGGGGAGGTTGGCGTGACTTCCGTGGCTGAGAAGTGTCCCTCCCACTTCCCCTCCTCATGGCAGTCACTAAAAGATAATTTAATTCCAGATTGGAAATGACGTTTTAGTTTATCAGATTGGTAACTTACCGCCCGTTGTCCAGATTGGCACGAACCTTTTCTTCCAGTTAATTATTTTTTAGGGTTTTGCTTTGATTGTGTTCATGTCTTAGGTCATTTTTTTTTTATTATTATTCTTACTGGAGCAAATGTTTTAATATTTAGAAGAAGATGTCTATCTTCCAGGTTTTGTTATATGTTGGGATAAAATACGGCTTATGTTGCGTAAGATTCTCAGGGATGAACTTTTGCGTTCTTTCTCGGTGCGTCCTTTTGGCTTTGAGACAGACGTGAACTGTCTCTTGAACCCACTCACTTTTTTGGTTTTTAACTTCATTCTGTGAGGGACGCATCATTTTCCGAGGTTTTTTTTTTTTTTTTTCATTTCTTTCGCTTTTTACGCTCTTGAAGAAGAGGCCTGTCCCACATCCACAAGGGGGGTTCAAGTGCAGGCAGTAGCCCCGGGGGCTCTGGGTGGAGACAGGGCTGGCGCAGAGCTCCGACGAGGCTCGTTTCCAATCGATGTCCACCGCAGCTGGTCGGAACCACCTGTCCAGACAGACGGAGCCTCCCCCGGGGCGTCCTGGGTTCTCTGAACATCTCCTTTCTCTCTCTACTTCCGTCTCACACCCACTGTCCGCCTGGACTTCCTTTTGACCTCGGGCTCTCTGCCACCACGAGAACTGGGCGGCCCGGACGGTGCCGGCTGTGGGCCGTGACTGCGGCGCCCAGCCCTCGGCCACTCCTCGCCCGCGCCACCGCCACTGTGTGAAGACGTCCAGGCCGTGCCACCTCCTTCTTTTGTCCCACACGCCAACTCCCAGCTCTGTAAATACCCCTCGGAGGAGACTTCCCTTCTGTGGCAAAGAGCAATAAACCCTGGACCTTCGTGTGCCTGTGTAGACCGCCTCGTGTGCCTGTGTGGACAGCCTCTCGTCCAGCATGACTCTTGAGTTGACTGTTTGGGTGTAAACATTGGTGTTTTGTCAGATTGACTGTGTTTTTATTTTTCTATTTTGAATTGTATACATTTGGAAAGTTCTAGAATAAACACGCAGCCTCTCCGTGACTCGGGCAGGATGTTCGCTTTCCGAGGCGGCCGTGTGGGTGGGCGGCCGGGCCCCCTCCTGTCCCCGCACTGCTTCCTCTGTGTGCAGCGTGTCCCTGATGACTGTCCTCAGTGCCTGTCTTTTCTGTCTCGCAGCCTCATCTCCTAAGCCTTTCCCTTCTCCCGGCTCCTCCTCCCTGTCCTGTCCGGGCCCTGACTCGTCCTCCTCTTCCTGGAGCCCCCGGCCGGCCTCGGGCTTGGGGCCAGACAGCAGCTCGCGGGTCTCCTTGCTGCCCCCCCTTCTGAGTGACCAGGAGCAGCATGTGCAGGCCCTGGGGACCTTTCACCTCTTCTGCCTGGCCACAGGTGAGTGAGGGACATGCCACGTGTGCGCCCCGTCTGTCCGTCTCCTCTTCGAGCCGTGGCTGGGCCTCGTCCTAGTCCACGGCGCTCACTCCGCCTTCCTTCCCTCTTCTCAGCTTTCTCTGTCACCAAGCTAGGGTGTCTTCGGAGTCTGTGCCAAACGGGGTTATGACAAAACTGGGCAGGTTTCAGACTGTTTGGCACCAAAATGAGTGGCTCGAGCCTGGCGCCCACGCCCTTTCTCATGGCCCGTTGTATTTTCACTACGGAGCGACTCACCCGTCGAGGCCCTCGTGCTGTTCGAGGCTCACAGCCCCGGGGACCCAACAACACCGCTTCCATACAGACTGACGGAGGCGGGCCACGTGAGTGGGCAGGGCCGGGTCTGGTACAGGCCGGATGTGGCCCAGGGGCCAGTTTGCCCACCCGGGGTGTATAGGATTGCTCCTGTTTCTGCAGCATTTGGGGTTGATTATGTAGGATTTCGAATTTTTATTCAAAACAAAAATCAGCTCCAGAGCTCCTGGCGTGGGGGTGGCTTTAAGGACTCTGAGATTTGGGAGCAGAGGAGCGCCAGAGCCCAGCGTCTCCCCTGACGCGGGGACCGGTCATACGGGAACCAGCTGCGTCCTGCTTCAGGTGCACTCTTGGGGTGGCTGTGTGAGACTGCAGACCGGGAAGGAAGGACGGGCCCTGCTCAGGGCCTGCTGGGTCCCGGCCTCTGCCCGGGAGGAAGGCTCTCATGAGGGAGAGGCGAGTCCGGTTTATCTCGTTGACAATGTCACATGATGAGTGGCTACTGCCCATTCCCCAGGGGTGGCCTGTGTCGGCCGACGGCAGTAGCTGGTGGCAGCTGGGCGCTCGGCACGGGTCATGGCCGTGCACAGGTGTGGAGTGTGTGTCCGGGACTCTGTGGACACACCGTGACACGCTGGTTCATGTGCCCCTGCTCTTCTGCTCACGGGGGACCCAGTGTGGCCACTGAGCACTCGCCTGGATGTGGCTGCCAGGTGGTTTCCCTCGGGGCGGCGGTGTAGGCCGTGCCCGTTCTCCTGCGTCCGGGGGTTGGAGAGTGGGGGTTCACTTTGCACATGGTTCTGGAGGCCCAAGGTCAGCGCTGCGTCTGGCCAGGCCCCACGGTCAAAAGTGGTGCAGGCGCCGCGTGGGGAGAGGAAGCCATGGTGCTCCTCCCAGCCTAGCAAGAGGCACCCCTGGGCCCATCCTCGGGTCCCCCCTAGGTCCTACTCACCTACAAGCCCCGCCTCCGACCACCACAGCAGTCTGTGGCTCCACCCCCCTGCCACCGTCACAGTGGGACTGTGGGACCGTGACTCAGCTGGTGACCTTCGGGGAGGGTACCGACCCACGCCAGCAGGCGGAGGCGACACGGGGAGGGGGAGTCCACGCTGGGCAAGCCGGGAACGCTCTGCGCTGGGGTCATATGACGTCAGGGACACGTGCCTCGTGGACACCAGCTGCGTGGTCCCGAGCCGTTGCGTTTGTGGTGCTCCATTCTCAGGTGTGTGGCCTGTCAGCATGGCAGGCAAACGTACCGGCCCCTGGGTCAGGAGAGGATCGAGGAAATGGACTTTGCTCTTAAGTCGACAGAAGCAGCTGGTGGGTGGTGTGGAGGGCCCCCACGGGGATGGCCAGCTGTGCCCCCGGGGAGGCGTGAGCCCTCCCAGGCGCTGGGCGGGCTGCACCGAGGGTAAGCATGCCTGCAGCCCCCCTGCCTGCTTCCCCACTGGCCATAGTGTTCCCCAGCAACAGTCTCCCCCTCCCCTGGGACTTCCCTGTTCCCTGGCCTCGAGGAGGCCGCAGCCTGCAGGGCCAGGAAACCTCCGGGCAGGACTGAACTAGCGGACTGTGGGGTTCTGAGGGGAGTCCCAGGGCGGCGTCTGCAGCCAATTATTCCTGAGGCAGAGGCGTGGCGTGCTGCAAGGGCCCGCAGGCCTCTCGGGTGACACAGGGGCCTCGGCCCAGATTCTGGCCTTGGCACCTCCTTGAGGATGAGCCGGGCCGTTCCGGGGAGGCACGGGTCCAGTTTGCAGCGGGACCCTGGAGTTGGCACAGCCTCCCTCTCACGGCTGCGCCCCCCCCACTCTGCTCCTCCCTGGCAGGCTGGTTCAGAACCTCAGCTTGGGCTTTGTTCCCTCTTTCCTAAAATGGGAGTTGGCTGGTGTCAGCGGTTTGGGGCTGTCTGATTAAAGGCCTCGCCAAGCGTGTTTAGAGTGTGAGGCTGAGTGCGTACGCGGCACCCTTCGCACCCGGCCTCCCAGCGACCCTGGACCTGGGAGCAGCGTCTCCGTCCTTAGGAGGGTCTGACAGGCGGCCAGGTGGTCAGGGCTGCACGTGG